GTAATCCCAGCAATTTGGGAGGATAAGGCAGGAGGATCTCAAGTCCAGGCCAGTCTCAAAAACTTAGGAATCTATTGGGGGTGTGGGGGAACGGCATGGCAAGTGCCATAGCTTAAGGATAAAGAGAGTGTCCCTATGGCTAGGGTTATAGCTCAGTTGTAGAGCACTTGGCTAGCATGTATGAGACACTGAATTTGATCATCAGCACCACATATAAATAAACAAATAAAAGGGCCAAAAAAATGAGAGAGTGTCTCCCTGGGTGCTCCCTAGTATCTTAAAAAAAAAAAAAAAAAAAAAGGTAGAGCACTATATTTTATTTTATATCAAAGCAACAAAACAACTCTCTTATAGGGAGGGAAGAAAAAACACAGGGCCCTGTTTGTTGGTGACATCAGGTGTTCCAATAAAAATCGCAGTTTCTAAGCAGTTGCACTTTAAGAATCTCACTGAAGGATCAAACAGGAAGAGAGAGAAATTGTTTAAACACAAATAACCAACAATTAAATAACTGGCATGACTAAACCAGAAAAACAAGTGAAAAGCAAAGAGACTGACATTTGAGCAATTTAAACCCTCTAAGCATGTGGAAGTACTTTTAATTTCCACTGCTACAATCTAAGTTCCAAAGAACAGAACAGTTTGCAGCCTTCCTGCTTCCCTTCACCTGCTGGGGACACTATGTGAAGATACTTATTAGATGCACTACATTCTAGGCAATCCCAAAAACATAGTATGAAGCTGTCATCAACCAGCAAAACAGTCTGGGAGGCCACTCAGCTGTTAAATGTCTAAGTTTCAGATGCAATTCAATCCCTTCCCATGGCTACCAATGAACATACTATAAGATACTCTGCCTAAGAAATTCTTTCCAATTATGGGATTAAGACAAATAAACTTTATTGAAGAGCAGAAACAAATTAAGCACACTATCACAATTTTCCTGTCAAACCTTTACATTTTTATCTTTGATAACCAACTTAGTGACCAATAGTTAAATGTCCCACAGTATCCCTAGGAAACTTACAGGTCAGATTTTCTGACAGAGGCTCCTGTTTTCTCACTCACCCAAAGTTAATAGTGACATGGATATACAACATAAGCCCTTAGAGGATCTAGGCAAAGGAGCATAAGGCAGCCCTCATAACGTGGCTCACTGTATTGGAGACTGCTCAGGCATACTATTTCTTTTGCCCTCAGCTAAGAGAACTCCCTGAACTATTCTCAGGTCCACCTACAAAGAAAAGCACAACATCTTTTAAGGTTAATATCTTAACTTTTACAGAACAGAAAAAATGAAAATGTATTTAGGAAACACTGTAAGGAATGCTTGAAATGCTAAACCTAAAAAACACTGTAGGGTTGGGAATGTGCCTCAGTGATAAGAGTACTTGGCTAGCATGCTCAAGGCCCTGGCTTTAATTCCCGGCACTCCCAGTGGTAGAGTGCTCACCTAGCAGCACTGCAAAAACAACAAGCTGGAGATATAGCTCAGCTGGCAGAGTTCGCGCTTTGCATGCACAAGGCCCCAGATTCAATCCTCAGCACCAGAAAACACCAACAATGTAACAGTGTGGCGATTCCTCAAAAAAATCAAATACAGGACTATCATATGATCCTGCAATTCTTATTCTGGGTAGATGCCAAAAAGAAGCAAAAGTGGCATTATGTGCAACAAAGAAAAGGTAGAGCTGGGCACAGTGGCACACACCTGTACTCCCAAGCATTTGGGAAGCTGAGGTAGGAGGATCTTAAGTTCCAGGACAGCCTCAGCAATTTAGCAAGACCCTGTCTCAAAATAAAAAGCAGAAAAAGACTAGGGTTGTAGTTCAGTGGTAGAGCAACCCTGGGTTCAATTCAAAGTATCCACTCACCCACTCCTCTAAAGAAAAGGAAAAGGAAAAAGACAATGAAAGGGGAACTACAACTAAAGTGTCCACCAACAGATAAACTGATGAACAAAATGTGGCACATACACAAAATGGGAGATTATGTGGCCTTAAAAGGAAGGAATTCTGACACATGCTACAAGACAGATGAAACCTGAAGACACTGTGCTAAGTGAAATGACCAAAATTTTGTAGTTTCCTAAGAGGTTTTATTTTGTTTTGTTTTATTTTGTTTATTGTAGTGGGGACTAAACCCAAAGGTGCTCTCCACTGGGTTACATCCGGCCCTTTTTATTTTACTTTGAGACAGGGTCTCATTAAGTTGCCCAGGCTGCCCTCAAACATATGATCTTTCTGCCCTGGTCTCCTAAATTGCTGGGCATGTGCCCCTGCACCTAGCAATAAGAGCTTTAATATATATAATTTTTACCACCCCTATCCTGTGAAATAGTTGATATCATCATCACTCCTGTTTTACAGGTGATAGAAAGAGGTCCAGAATGGCTGGGGATACAGCTCAGTTGGTAGAGTGCTTGCCTCGCATACACAAGGCCCTGGGTTCAATCCCAGTACCACACACACACACACAAAAAAAAAAAAAAAGGTCCAGAAAAACTAAAACTAAGTAATCTGTTCAAGGTCATATAGTGAATGGTAAAGACAAAAATTAAAACTCTAGTTTTTCTAATTCAAATTTCCATGCTTCTTTCATGATGTGTTCTCTATTTACCTCCATAGTAGCTTTTGCTGTAACTCTAAAAGAAGGAGGTATTATGGTATGGAAGAAAGAGCTCTAGGCTTAGAGTTGGATGGCCTACTATTATCTGTTTTACCACAATTCAAGATCTATAGGCTCAGTTTCCTCAGTGGGAAAAAGTATATTTTAAGAAACATATGACAAGGGCTAGAGTTGTGGCTCAGTGGTAGAGTGCTCACCTAGCATGCACGAGGCACTGGGTTCGATCCTCAGCACCACATAAATGTAAAATAAAGATATACTGTCCACCTAAAACTTATAAAAAGATAGTATATGAAAGGGCAGCACAAAGTCTGGCAATGATAAAAACAGATGTTAGAAAGAAAAAAAGGTAAACTTCTGTGCTTAGTATTTTCCATGATCTAGACTCAGTGTGATAAATTCAAATACATCTTTCCAGTAATCTCTTGAGAAAAGTGATAGGTCTTTTTTTTTCTTTTTTTTGCTACTTTAGGCATATATCCTAATTCATTAGCAACAATGAAAATGATGTGATTATTCTCTGCAGCAAGCTCATCAGAGAAGTTTGAGGAATGAAAATAAAAGTAGAGGCCTGACAGAGTGATGCAAAGCAAAGGAAGAGGTCATGGTTAGAGTGTTTTTCCCCAAGGTTTAGCCTAATTTTATCTCCATTATTCAGAAAAATGAGAGGGCAGCCAGGTGTGGTGATGCACACCTATAATCCCAGCTACTCAGGAGGCTGAGGGAGGAGGATCACAAGTTCAAGATTAGCCTCAGAAACTCAGTGAGACCCTATCTCACAATAAAAAATAAAAACGTCTGGAGATGTACTTTGGTGGGAAAGCGCCCTGGGTTCAATACCCAGTATCCTACCCCACCCTCAACAACAACAACAACAAAAAAGAGAGACCCGGAGCTTTAACCATCAAGCTGTTTGATGGGTCGGTGGAGAGAATAAGGACAGCAGCCAACCCAGAAACCACTGAAAGGAAAACTAGAGATAAAGGAAGCATAGAGGAATGTGATCAAGGAAACAGGCCCCAAATGAAAAGAAGCTGCCAGGAAAGCCTATGTAAATACACAACATAAATTATACTCATATGCACTTCATTCTCTAGCACAGAACTTTGTGCTTCCTTCAAACACCCACATTTGTCATACTTCCCTTGGGGTCACAAAGAAATATTTGGAAGAAGACTGTTTATAGTTCCTGATTCTTACTGAAATTCACATTTATCAAAAGACTTCACCACAGTGTCTAGATTATTTGCTAGATATAGATATGCATTTATTTGTGAGATTTATAAAATTGTGTTTGCTGCAAAATGTCTCTGGGGAAAGGTAAGGAGTCCAACCTTCATTGCAATCTTGTTAGCACATCTCACCCCCTGTTCCCTCAGCCCAGCCCTCCTCACACACAAATTTTACACTTCTCCTTTTATTCTCAGAAGTGCCAAGCACTGTAGTAAATAACTGCAGGGACAGGACATTTTACCTTTAAAAAAAAAAAAAAAGAGAGAGAGAGAGAGAAAGGAAAAATAAATATACAGAAACAAACATCACACCCCCAGCTCTGTCACACATTAGAATCTATAACCAAGTTGTAAATGTGCATTACTATTATGGGAATGTCTGGAAAGGCTTACATCTGGAGCTAAATCAAGTTCCCCATCTGTTGGATTTGCCTCTTTTACTCAACATTAATTTTTTTAATTGTTTGAAAAAATGATTTAATAACTATTGAGAAATGGAAAATCATAGGCACAAAGGGAAGAAGGAAGAAAAGTCAGATTTAGGTCTCATGATAGCAAAAGCACTTTCTCCTCTCCACTTATTGGCAGCTCACTCCTGTGAGTGAAATGCTTCTTCAAGACTATGACCACATCTGACATAATTTCATCCAACATATACAGCACCATGTAACTGCCTTGCTGTTTCATAAGGAATCTAAAATCACTTAGCCCTATGTCCAGACTCCATTTGCTTCTCTTTACCACAAATAGAAACAGCACATATAGTAAAATGTCAAAGTTCTAGATCCCTATGAGTCATCCACTAAAGTCATAAAGAACAGCAGAAGAAATCTTCAGAAAAAAACTTTCAGATGACTTATGCACAGAAAATACTTTGGCAGCTAAGATGCCTGAAAAGGGCTTGCAACCATCTCTTGGTAGAAAATTCACAGAACAGCCAGCACTTCGAGCTGTTTCAATATGATCAAATGAAAACCTCATGTACTCCTGCTTTTCTTGATCAAGTACGACAATTTCTTCCACTCCTACAGACACCAGAGCTTAAAATAGCAGTAGTGTTCAATGCATTCTACTTAGAAAGGTACAATAAACCTCAGGATGAGTCAAGAACTCTGAAAGAAAAAAATTTTCATTTCTTACCTGATATTAACCAATGCATGGGTCACCTTGCTAGCTGCTTCCTTCCATTGGCCTGCATTAGTAGAAAGCCTCAGGACTGTAAAGAAGCAAAGAACACAGATCTGTCAAACCCCTGATATAAAACACAAATATGAGGAATGAAAACAAATCTCAAAATAGCACTATTAGAATAACCAAACAAAGCCTGTGCCAATCTTCTGTTACAAACATCCTCAGCCTAGAGAAAAATATAAGGGCTTATAGAATCCTTTCAGCTATATTTTTTAGAAATTTTTTTCTCTAGCTTCTTATTTTCTATCAAAATACTCTAGCCAATCTGTCTTGGGTTGCACTCCATCTGCCACTCCCTAATAACAGGGTTCCAGTAGTTTTTTGGGGTTTTTTTTGGTGGGGCGGGGGGAGAGGAATGGGGTTAACTGGGGATTGAACTCAGGAAAACTTTAACTCTGAAACTCTGTACTACATCCCCAAAACTTTATTTTTTATTTTGAAACAGGGGTCTCACTAAGTTGCTGAGGGTCTCATTAAATTTCTGAGGGTAGCCTCAAACTTGTGATCCTCTGCCTCCATCTCTCAATTCTCTGGGATAACAGGCATATGCCACTGCGCCCAGCTCCAAAACTTAGTTTTTATTTTCTTTTAAAATATAGTCTGGAGTGATAATTTGAGGGTAAACTGGCTTCCATACTTGTCATTTCTCTAGTGGCGTGGGCTAATTTAGTGGAACTGGCTAAGTTGGTGTTCCCTCCAGCTCCAGGTATAACTTTCCAAACCTAAAGGCACACCCTCAAACAGGGAAAATAAATTTTCCAGATAGAGGGTAGTCATGTTTCAATCAAGGAATAATTTATTTTTGCAAGTCTGACTTAATTGTATGACCCATAAAATGAATCAACAGGAAGATTCTTCCTTACCTGATTAAACTCTCTCTTTTTCCCAAACTCACCCATGGGAGAAAAAAATAACAGAAATACAAAACTAAACACATCCTATGCCAGCTATGCTCTTCAGAGTCACATATTGAAGTATGCAACTTAGAAAAAAGACAAAACAGCTCAAGTGCTCCTTTTAAAACAACAAGCACTTGCTAGGCACTTCAATTATATATTTTAATGAATGACTCACTAAAAAGAAGTAAATATATAAAGAATTTACTACATGCCAGACACTGGACAAAGTTAGATTGTATGCAATATGACAAACAGATAAGGAAACTGAGATTCACAGGAAACAAGTAATTGAGATCCTTCACACAAATTGCAAGTGATAGAGGTAGAATTTGAACCTAGAGGGAATTACTCTAGAACCAGTGTTTATGCAGAGAAATTAGTAGTTAAAAAGCATGATCTCTGGGGCTGAGGTTGTAGCTCAGTGGTAGAGCACTTGCCTAGCATGTGTAAGGCACTGGGTTCGATTCTCAGCACCACATATAAATAAATAAAAAATAAAGGTCCATTGACTATATATATATATATATATATACACACACACACACACACACACACACACTCATATATATGTTCATATATATACACATATACATATGAAGAATTAAGTGAGCTAATACCTATAAAGTTCTTAGATTAGTGACTGCCATAGAGCTCTGAAAATTTTAGATATTGTTGATTTCAATAGACTGCCTCCCAAATGAATGAATGAATAAATCTACCTAAGACTTTCCAAAGGAAGGAAGGAAAAAAAGAGGGCCTAACATTAAGAAATGTGTGATCAAGTAGTAGACACCTATAACCCTTCAACTTGGGAGGCTGAGGCAGGAGGATTAAATTTGAGGCCAGCCTTAGCAATTTAGCAAGACCCTATCTCAAAGTAAAAAATAAAAAGGACTGGGAATGTAACTCAGGGTTTTAAAGTGTTGCTGGGTTCAATCAAAAAGGAGAAAGAAAGAAACGTATGATCAGTTTGCATAGGAATGTCATACTGAATACCATCACCATATGCTCCTGATCCAGGATCCCAAGCAAGAAGAATAGCAGCAGTAGCTCTATCAGAGGGAAGGCCTGGGGCTGTGATCGGTTAATAAAACTCATCTGGCTGTTCTGCATCTGTTCTATCAATGCCTCCATTTTATAAATACATGTAATTTTATAAGAGAAGACAAGATGGAAGCCTTAGTAAAACATTATCAGAGTGCTGCTTTTCTAATTTATAAGGTTGACTGCAAGAAAAATTGGGATAGTTTCAAGTTAGGGTTCTCCATTCCGAATTCAGGTTCCACTTATTGTATATGCAAATTTATTCATGAAATGAACCAAATTGCTTCAACAGGTCAGACATGTCTTTTTCAACTCAAATGTGAAGATTACTTAGATGCATTGATTTTTTTTACTAGATCATAAGTTTTCTGATTATAGGGACCTAAACATATATGGAATTGTAGTACACATCTATAACCTTATATGAACATATATGAACTGAATTGTCCCCTCTTCAATTTTTTTTTTTTAAAGAGAGAGGGAGAGAGAGAAAGAGAGAGAGAGAGAATTTTTTAATATTTATTTTCTAGTTTTCGGTGGACACAACATCTTTGTTTGTATGTGGTGCTGAGGATCGAACCCGGGCCGCACGCATGCCAGGCAAGCGCGTTACCACTTGAGCCACATCCCCAGCCCCCCTCTTCAAATTTTAAGAGGTGTTTAACTTGCCCACAAATTATTTCTCCAAAATATCCTGTCAGCTCTGTTCCTTAGTGGATAGGCAACCATATGACCTCACCATGAAATTCTTTTAGTAATGCCATTAGGTTTTTTTGGGGGGGGTGAGAGTATCAGGGATTGAACTCAGGGGCACTCTACCACTGAGCCACATCCCTAACCCTATTTTGTATTTTATTAGAGACAGGGTCTCACTGAGTTGCTTAGCTCCTCACTAAATTGCTAAGGCTAGTTTTGAACTCGAGATCCTCCTGCCTCAGCCTCCCGAGTCGCTGGGATTACAGGCATGCACCATCGCGCCGAAATGCCATTGGTTTCTATGTTCTCTACTAAATGTAAAAAAGAAAATTATTTTAAAATGCCTTAAATGCCTCGTACTAAAGCAATCATTTGTGTAGTAAATTATGTTATGCAAAAATTACATATTATGTAGCCATTAAAACAGAGACTTAAAAAATAAGTAAGGGAGTTGTGGGGTCAAGCATTGGCTTGGTTAGCATGATTTCAATCTTTGGTACAGCAACAAAAAAAAGGAGGATGAGAAGAAGAAGGTGGAGAAGAAGCAGGAGAAGGAGGAGGAGGTAGAGGGGAGGAGGAGGAGTAGGAAGAGAAGAAGGAGGAGGAAGAGGAGGAGGAGAAGGAGGAGGAAGAGAAGGAGGAAAAGGAGGAAGAAGAGAAAGAGGAGGAGGAAAAGGCAGAGGGAAGAAGAGGCAAGAGAAGGAGGGGAGGAGGAGAAGAAAAAGAGGAAGAGGAGGAGGAAGAAAAAGAAGGGGGAGGAGGGAAGAGGGAAGAGGAAGAGTAGTATTTAAGTTAAAAACACAAAATTTAAAAAATAAAGCCAGCGTGATGGCACATACCTATAATCCCAGCAACTCACAAGGCTAAGGCAGGAGGACTGCAAATTGGAGCTCAGCCTCAGCTGAGACCCTGTCTCAAAATAAAAAATAAAAAGGACAGGGGATGTAGCTTAATGATAAAATGGCCCTGGATTCAATCCCCACTATCAAAAAAACCCACAAAATAATATATTACGATTACAACTATATTAAACTATGTGTGCATGTGAAGCAATATACAACATGAAAATTATTACTTAATAGTACTAGAATCAGTGGTAGAGTGCTCACCTAGCATGCACGAGGCACTAGGTTTGATCCTCAGCACCACATAAAAATAAATAAATAAAATAAAGGTATTGTGTCCACCTACAACTGAAAAAAATTTTTTTTAATAATACCATAAGAACATTAAGCAAGTGCCTTTATCAAAAATATCTCAGTAATGCCAGGCATGGTGGTGCATGCCTGTAATCCCAGCAGCTTAGGAGGCTGAGACAGGAGGACTGCAAGTTCAAAGTCAGCCTCAGCAACAGCAAGGCCCTAAGCAATTCAGTGAGATCCTGTCTCTAATAAAATACAAAATAGGGCTAGGGATGTGGCTAAGTGGTTGAGTGCTCCTGAGTTCAATCCTTGGTATACACCACACACACACACACACACCAAAAAAAAAAAAAAAAAGTCTCAGTAAACTGTGTTCTGCTAGCCATGATGAGATAACAAGACACAATTTACCCTCCTCCCTTAAAACACTGGGCAAAATATATGAAACAATGGTTATCAGACACTGGAAAACAGGCAAAATGGAGCTGTGATACCTGACAGATGGAAAACAAACATGCACCCTATGATTACCCCAACTAATTACATGGAGAAGTTTCCAAGTAGCAGGGAGGAGGAACCTAAACAGAAACCAGAAGTCTTGCCAAATTGAAGACAGAGATCAGCCTTTGGAAAGGACAAGGCATCTAGAAAGTATGGGGCAAAGAGCTGGCAAGGAGGGATTTTGACAGAAAGCTCTAGAGTTCTGTGGACAAGTATACTTATGTCTCTTGCTGAGCCCTAATGTGAACATATGGAAAAGGAAACTACCCAAGGCTGAGGACAAACCATGGGAAAGGAGGGATTGGGGAGCTCATGGCAGGCTCCACCAGCAGGAATGAAAAGACCTACTAATATATGGAGTGTCAATGAGGTAGACTCTGCAAACGGGTACTGCACTAGTAACAGAGTCAAGTTATCCTACATTAAAAGTTGTTCTTGACCTGCCCTTGTCAACCCTTAAAAACAAACCTTGAAAGAATCAAACTGTTTCCACATCACATAAACACATTCCAGAACAATGCCCAACATTAAAGTAACAATAAAATCCAGCATCCGTATCACAAAAATCACAATGTTTATGACCCAAAACAGGAGAAGAATCAAGCAACAGAAAACAGATTTGTGGTGTTAGGGGTTGAGAGTAGGCAGAGGAGTTGACCTCATAAGAGCACAAGGGAAATTTTTGGAATGATGAAACACTTATATTTTATTTTAGTGATAATTACACTACTAAATGCATTTGTTAAAATTTAGAACTGTACGTTAAAAAGGGTGAATTTTATCCCAGTGGCTCAGGTGGCTGAGACAGGAGGATTGTGAGTTCAAAGTCAGCTTCAGCAGCTTAGTGAGACCCTGTGTCTAAATAAAATATGAATAAGGGTTAGGGACGTGACTGAGTGGTTAAGTGCCCTGGGTTCAATCATTGGTACAAATAAAAAAGTGAATTTTATTGTCTATATAAATTATGCTTCAAGAAACTTAACTTAAAAAACCTTTTTTTCTACCACAAGTTTTATCACATTTTAACATGAAATGGGGAGCACTGATAACAAAATATCGATGGTACTTCAATTAGTAATGTTTTTCCCCCAGTGCTGGGGACAAAACCCAGGGGCACCCTACCACTGAACTACATCCTTAACCCTTTTTTATTTTATTTTTTAGGGTGTCAGGGATTGAACTCAGGGGCACTCGACCACTGAGCCACATACCCATCCCTATTTTGTATTTTATTTAGAGACAGGATCTCACTGAGTTGCTTAGGGCCTCGCTAAGTTGCTGAGGCTAGCTTTGAATTCGAGATCCTCCTCTCTCAGCCTCTCAAACTACTGGGACTACAGGCATGCACTGCCATGTTCGGCTATTTTTTTATTTTGAAACAAGATCTCTAAGTTGCCTAGGCTAGCCTCAAACTTGCCATTTCCTGCCTCCTGAGTAGCTCTGATTACAGATGTACATCACTGCACCCAGCGGTTAATGAAAAGTTTTACTTTGCTATTTGTGCTTCCTAATTAAATTTTCATTCCATAGGTAAATGTGGGAATTCATAGATATCGTCTCTATCTTGTTGCTGAAGCTACACAAGGGCTTATCCCATTTGACTGGAAAAATGGCCAAGTTGGGCAGGTACATGAGGCTTTCAAAAAATATCTCTTCCAAACTCACCCTTCCTTTCCTCACTGAAAGACATTTTTATTCATCTACAGATGAATGCCAAAGCCTCTGAAGCAGTTCTTCAACCTTAGAAAATTCTACATTTTCAGAAAACAAGGATTTTGGTAAAGCCAAGCAGATACAAACCACAACAAGGTACACTGAGCACATCTGGCCAATGAGAAGTCAGTTGAAAGGTTCTCAAAGATGACTTCCTATCTCCTAAAAAAAGAGATGTATCTTGACATTACAACCAGAACTTGCTGTTTTGAGGGGAGCTGACTTGATGCTAAAGCTCTTCCTTTGAGAATGAGAGAGCAGAGAAACAGAAAAACCTGGGTTCTTGCAGACATTGCTGAGCAACTGATCATACCATTCTAGAATTCTTTCTTTCTTTTTGTGGTACTGGAGATTAAACCCAGGGGCGCTTAACCACTGAGCCACATACCCAGCCCTTTTTATTTTTTATTTTGAGACAGGGTCTCACTAAGTTGCTTAGGGCCTCACTAAGTTGCTAAGGCTGGCTTTGAACTCGTGATCTTCTTACCTCAGCCTCCTGAATTGCTGGCAGGCATGCGCCACTGTGCCCACCCACCATTCAAGAATTCTTACAGGTATGATAATTTTTGTTCCTTAGAGTTATTATAAGGTATAATAATTCTCCTATTGTTTGAGATAGTTTAAATCAGAATTTTCTGACACTTGAAGTTGAAACCAACCTACTAATAGAAGGTCCTACTCTCATTGTCTAAGACACCAGAGCAAAGGTATACATGGCTCTCTTAAAAGTTCTCTATAGGCTGGGGACATAGCTCAGTTGGTAGAATGCTTGCCTTGCATGCACAAGGCCCTGGGTTCAATCCTCCAAAAAAAAAAAAAAAAAAAAAAAATTCCTCTACTACTCCTCTAAAAGCTAAAGTCTATTATAGAAAAAAATCCTCTCAAGACAACTCATCTTTTCCGCTGTTTGCTTCTATTCTTTCTCTTGGTACTTGTTCTAAATCCTCTCTACTTTTCTCATTATACAGAAGTTCCAAGGCTGGAGTTTTTACAAATATTCTCATCATGAGGGATGAAGCAAACTAATACATAGTGACAGAAAAGAGATCCATGGCTGCCAAGGGATGGGACACAGCAGGTACTGGTGGGGAAAGGAACATTAGAGAAGGAACACAAGGAAGCAAGGACACAAGGAAGGCAATGAATGAACATAATGAATAAAATAATAAATGAAATAATGAACATAATGAATATGTTCATTATCTCAATCACTATGATAATTTCACACATATCAAAATTTATCAAAATATGTATATTTTAAATGTGCAACATTTATTATATATGTTATACATCAATAAAGCTAGTGTCAGGATTTTTAAAATAAGATAGTTTTACTGAGTGGCTTTCTGTTTTTGTACAGTCTATAAATATCTTTCCTTACCTTTCACACTCCAGTTAGGATTCACTAGGCCTTTTTCCCAAATTTGCAGATACATTACCTTATACTCACTGTGGCTGTAAATTTTTAGCGAGCCAATTACTAAAAGCTTTACAAAAAAAAATGATATTTATCCAATGCCCACTCTTTCTTTAAGTAATACTAAAAATAAAAATACAAAGGTACAGTAAGATTCCTTAAAACTCTGTACTTTCTCAAAGGTATTATCAGTGGTATGCAAATCGCCATCTCTTATTGGTTTGCAATATACAATATTCCTCTGGAATCCAAGCTCTTCTATTTGCTGGTATCAAATCCCACCCACTCTTTAACCCCCATTTCACCTGCATTTGCTGAATCCAAGACCCTCTTTATTCTCCCTTTCATAAACATCAACAAAATGCTGATAACCAGCTCTGCACTGAGATGAAATCTGAGTTCCTAAAGGCAAAATGGCCCACGTGTAGTTTCCTATTGCCTAAGAAGAGGAAACCACTGTACTTCTATGCTGACCAAAGACATCAACCCACTGGAGTGCGATCTTTTATAATATTTCCCTTTTATTCGCCAAAAAACAGACAGGGGATGGAGAAAGCAGAGCAAACAAAACAGAAAAATATAGCTTACCCATGGAGTAGAGGTTGTCAAAGCTCTGGTGCATGCGGATAATCTCATAGTAAAGTTCATCATAGCTGCTGGGGGTTGGTAGGAATGTGTCGCCATATGTGATAAACATATTAAATAAGTTCACAATCTAAAAAAGAAGCAATAGCCCATATAGAGGCATCAGGCTATGAAGATCAGAAAGGTATTATCAGTGGTATGCAAATCACCATCTCTTACTGGCTTGCAAGAGCTGACAGTCAAATTTTCAGGGACTGTGTAAACTGGTTGTAAAACATAGCAATTTATATTAAGAATTCATTCATATAAATGTACAATTAAATAAATTATATTAAAATAAATAAATAATATAAACTTATCACTTCCTAATTATTTTCTTTTACTACGACCTATGATCTTGAGATTAATTTACATCTCTTATAATCTGAGTGGTGAGAATACCATATAATGGTGTGCTACAGTACATATCTTCTCAACTCTGTATGACTCTAATGTCATGTAGATAGCTTGAAATTGGCCATGGTGGGTACAATTCTACAATGGAAATTAGCTTAGTCTACAGATCAGGACTTTTCCCCCATAAATGTTGAATATCCATAAACAAATAGAGATAGTCAAAAGACATAATGGTATTCTTGTACCCAAAATAACCAACCAACAGGCATTTGTAATGTCCCTCAGAAACCCAGCACAGGCGTGACAGAAACACTCATCTGGCTGGGATACCTCTAAATGCTTTGTTATTTACCAATGTAGAGACTATAGTAGTGAAGTAAAGTCTCTCAGTTGGAATCAGGCTCACTATTCATACACAGAAATCTGACCTACCCCATAGCTGCCAGGCAATATACTCTCATGAAGGAAAAAAGAGTTCTATGTTTGTCAAATACATAGGTACGAGTAGGGACACTAGTCTATAGAGATTCTGATCCACAAGGAAAATATATCCAAATTCTCGCTACAGCTCAGTCCCCAGACTACCAACTCCTGTTTCAAATCAGCCCATTTCTGACTTAGAATATGGCTTTCAAAAAAGAAATTTTGTATTACTCACCATAAGGGCTAATGTAAAAATGTTGTGTTTGGCCAAAAGTACAGTTTCATTTGACATAAGGAACTTCAGCAAATTTATCAAGGCTTTAAGGGGGGGAAAAAAAAGATATCAACAAACTATGCAAACCATGATCAATAAAGTTAAATGAAAGCACAGTAGATCTATAGATGTCCCTGTTGTTAGCATGAGTAAGCCTTAACCACCACGGTGTTTTGTTTTGATTAACAAGTAATAATTATATATATTTATGGGGTACAGTGTGCTATTTCAACTCACAAAGACAGTGTGTACCAATCAGAGTAACCGGCATTTCTATCTCCTTATTATTTATTTCTTTGAAGCTTTAGAGCTCCTTTCTTCTAATACTTAATAAGTTATTTTAATCACTCCATTGTGCCACCGAACACTGGAACTTATTCCTTCCATTTGTCTTTGGTACTCTTTATACAATGACCCTCTGTCTCTCCCACATCCACTTCTCAACTTCTAGTAACTGCTACTCCACATTTGGATTGACTTTTTAAAACTTTTGTATATCCGAGAGAAGATGTAGTATTTGTCTTTCTGTGCCTGGCTTATTTCATTCAACTGTCCTCCAGTTCCATCCATTTTGCTGCAAATGACAGGACTTCATTCTTTTTAAGGCTTAATAATAAGTCCATTGTGTATATATAACACATTTTAAAAATCCATTCAACTGGTAATGGGCACTTAGGTTGATTCCATATTTTGACTACTGTGAATAATGCTGCAATAACATGAGAGTACTTTGGGGTTTTTTGGTGCCAGAGATTAAACTCAGGGGCACTCAACCCCTGAGCCATATCCCCAGCCCTATTTTGTATTTTGTTTAGAGATAGGGTCTCACTGAGTTGCTTAGCGCCTCACCATTGCTGAGGCTGGCTTTGAACTCGAGATTCTCCTGTCTCAGCCTCCCAAGCTGCTGGGATTACAGGCATGTGCCACTGCACCTGGCTACAGGTTATCTTTTTGATAATGACAATTTAATTTCCATTGGACATATACCCAGAAGTAAGACAGTTGGTAGATCTATTTTCAGTTTGTTTGTTTTTTGTTTTTTTTTGTAGTTGTAAATGGACAGAATGCCTTCGTTTATTTTTTATGTGGTGCTGAGGATCGAACTCAGTGCCTCACACATGCTAGGCAAGCGCTCTGCCACTGAGCCACAGCCCCAACCCCTATTTTCAGTTTTTTGAGGAACTCTCATATGATCTTCCATAATGGCTATACTAATTTACATTACCCCACAGTGTATACTAATTTACATTATCCCACCCCTCTTGTCCACATCCTCCCACCATTTGTTATTTTTTTCCTTTTGATAGAAGTTATTCTAATTGGAATGAGATATCTCATGTGATTTTTGATTTGCATTTCTCTGATGGCTAATGTAACTGCGAATTTTTCATATATTTGTTGATCATTTGTATTTCTTCTTTTGTGAAATGTCTATTCAAATCATTTGCCCTTTGTTTTTTGATGCTAGGAACTGAACCCAGGGCCTGGTGTATTCATGTTCTACCACTGAATTACACCCTTCGTCCCCTGTGCATTTTTTAACTGAATTACTTTGTTGTTATTAAAGTTTTCGTTTGTTTCATTTTGTTGTTAGTTCCTTACCAATTCTGAATATCAATCCTTGTCAAATGAATAGTTTGCAAATATTTTCTCCCATTTTGTAGGCTATCTCTTAATCAACTGATCATTTCCTTCTTAGTTTAACATAATCCCATCTGTCCATTATGTTTTTGTTGCTTATGATTTGGGGGTCTATTATCTCAAGTCTTTTAAAGAGCAGATTAAGGACTGGGGGTATAGCTCAGCAAAAAGACTATTTGACTAGCATTTGCAAAGCCTGAGGCTTAATCCCTAGCAACAACCAAAAAATAGATAAGGTTGGTATATGTAAGGTAAGCACTAACCTCCCCAGGCACACATCTGCTTATCTGCTCATATAAAGTTTTAAAGAACCTACTTCGTTTCACCATTTCTTAAGTAGCAATTAAACTCAGAAATCTGACTATAAAACTGACATCTCAGTGTTCCAAATTTACTCCCACACAGTGATTTCTTCAATTTACAGGTAAAAATGAGGGTCCTCTTCCACCTCAAGCTGCTAAGCATCTAATGTTAAAAAGCTTTAGTCATATTATCTGTTTCAAACATCATTGCTATCCATTCTAACTGGTCACCATATATGGCAGCAATACTTAGAACTTCCACTCTAAGTGGTAAGGTAGCTAATGAAGAAAAAAAAAAGTACTTAAGTGTTAAGCTATTCAAATAGAAGTGAAGCTTGCTCTGTCTCTTTTGACAGTGAAAATATTGACTGAAAATATTTCCTCTGCCTTGCAACCCTTAATGAGGGGAAGGGATTGCTAAAACTGAGTAATCTCAGTAAAGAAAGTGACTTCAAGTCCCTAGGTTAACAGTACAGTTTTAAAGACATTTTTGCAAACAAGTGCTAAACATAAAGCAAATTCTCAGTGCCTTACACTCATTCACCTAGGACATCTGTCCATGGAATGAATCCTGCTTCTGAACCTATCTTGACTAATGCTCCTGTACATATTCCCCTTCTTGATAGGAAACTATTCAGAACGGGGTCAGCAACTTCAAGCATTCTGTGGTCTGTTTTCTTGTCCTCATACCTCCCTCCTTCCGCATATGCAAAAAAAACAAAAAAAACAAAAGAAAGTTGATCTCTCCTTTTCTAAAACCATATCTATTTCTTTGCCAGCAAAAAATTCCATTCTCCCATGCTGCCTGAGCTTTGTTTTAAGTTAACTACTCTTAGAGATGTGTGCTTTGATTTGGAACAGCAGGGAAGGATCAGTAGGAGTAAGACTCCATAGACATTGCTGCCCATCATACAACAATTTTCTCCCCTAGTTATCTAACAGCACAGGTATAATAAACAAACAGCAGGCTGGCCAGTTATGGTGGCACATGCCTGTAATCCTACCTACTCAGGAGGCTAAGGCAGGAAGATCACAAAATTGAGGCAGCCTGGACAACTTAGCAAAACACTGTCTTAATATAAAATTTTAAAACAAAGGACTGGGGATACAGCTCAGAGATACAGTGATTGTCTAACATATGCAAGGCCCTGAGTTCAATCCCCAGTACTAAAAACAAAGGAGAGAAAAAATATATATATATCAGGCAAGGAAAGTACAAGAGTCTGGTTGTACCTACCTTCTGTTTCTAAAGCCTAAATTTTCCCCTCAAATGAAATAGGACATACTAGAATTGAAGAAGGCAGGCATCCTCCTTTATGAACTTTTTACCCCTGCCCTGATGTAAGTTCTCTATGATTTTATGATCAGGCAAATGACAGACAGTTGCCTTTTTTTTTTTTTTCTTTTCAGTCCTGGGGATTGAACCCAAGGCCTCAAGCATGCTAGGCAGACACTCTTGACACTGAGCTACAGCCCCAGTTGGCATTTTTATGGTATCTGTTAACAAGTGATCTGTTGGATGAACTGCAAAAAAGAAAAAAGAAAGAAAGGGGGAAAAAGGCTCCACAGGAATCCATTCTGGTTCACACATAGCTTGCTTAGCCTGGAGCAGGGAAATGAAGATAGACAGTTAAGAATCCACATAAAAATGACTATCCCTAGCTCAAATATCTCTCCTGATGAAGATCACCTTGCTGAGTGAGTTAGGGGCTACTTACTTCACCCCCTTAACCCAACGTTCTGACAAACTCTCTGAATCAGACTCAATAAACTCACAGGCACAGAGAAAGGGCTGGGTAGCACACATGGCTTTTGTCCTCAGCACGCACACAGAACAAAGATGCAGGCTCAGCAGTAGATATGTGGTAAGTAAGGGGCAGGAAACCTGGAGAAAAGGAAAGGGAAGTAATGATTTATTACTCCTCTGCTTGCCTACTGCTAGTCTTGATCTCTGGGATTCAGAATCAGGGATGACAAAGTGATAAATATGAGGAGGAGAAGAGAGCAATTTTGGCACAGGTCAAGTGGCAACCTGTGTCCCAATGGCCAGAGACATCAGCAGAGTCAAACAGTCTTGAGGAGGATCCAGCATTGTGATCCTCTAAGAGTCAATACTGTGGGACCTGTATTCTGTGCCTGATAACTCAGGCCAGACACCACTACCCCTAAAAGCCACCTGGAAATAGTAATGCTCTAGAGGGATTTCAACAGGAAGCTAAAATCACACACAACACACAACACACACACAAAATTATCTTCAAGAGAGAATGCCCCCCCCAAATATTCTACAAAACAGTGCTTTTCTCTTTCATTTTCCCTCCCCCTCCCCTCCCCCTCCCCCTCTCCCTCCCCCTCCCCCTCTCTCTCTCTTCCCACTCTGACCTGATGATACAACAGAAGTTCTAATTCTGTGAAGCTCTGACAGCTGAGTATGGATTTTTAGAATTAGACCTTAGAGGTCATTCAATCCAATTTCCTCATTTTTGGATAAGAAAACCCCATACCTCATTACACTCTACCTCATCCTTGCTAGTGACTAAGCTGGGATTAAAAATTGGCTTCTTGTTTATAGTATTCTCTCTACCCTTTCCATTAAGAATAAATAAACACATTGGGGATATGGCTCGCCTGGCATGCGTGAGGCACTGAGTTCGATCCTCAGCACCACATAAAAATAAATAACAATATTGTATCCACCTAAAAAAAAAAACTAAAAAATATTTTTAAAAAAGAATAAATAAACAAGGTTACCAGATCAAGTTGAATATTAAAGGGGCAAAAACAGCTTATTATAAATGGTGTGCTTCAGGTTATTATCATGTTCTTGGTTCCTCTTTTCTGCTTATTAAAGCACAGGTGTTTATTACCTTCCTACTACTGTCAACACTGGAGGACACCTAGTAGCTTAGCTCAGCAGGAGCCACTTCAGCAGGCCCTCTCATTCTTATCTTATGAGCCCTGTCTCATCTGTACATCTCCCCTCTCACACATCTCTTTCCCCTTCTTTGTCTATCTTTTGTTTAAGCACATAATTACCAACTAAAACTAGTCTTAATTTGCAAACTCAGGGTTGCCATCTTCAAACTTATATGATGCACCAA